AAATGGATTTTGTCTCGATGGTATTACAATGGGCCTCCTAAAGGCTTAGCCTACCTAAAATAAAATATTACACCATTTAAAAATTCTCTACATTTTTGAAGAACTAGTATATGTTTGAACTGAATTCATACATCATCATTTTAGTTTTTTATTAGTTATAGAATAAGTATTCATAATAATAAAAAATATACTTACGTAACTTTATGCACCTTTAGATTATGAGGATCAGTTTCAAGGTGCTCACTTTCAAAAATATGAAACAGTTTCTTTCATGCGACAACTTCTCGCCTTTCTATTATATTTAAATATATTTATAAAATTTACTATACATAAACGTTATCGAGTTCACACTTTGTACATAGACACAGAACATTTGATCTCTTCATTCTACTATAAAAGCGATTGGATGCTTGTCGAAGCACTAAATATTTTTAATTTGGTAATAAAATTTTCACACACACACACATGCACATTCACAAATTGAGTGAAATCTTGACTAAAATCAACGAAACTGTGGCTATTTTCGAAATAATAACGCAGTCAGCTAGCCTGCAACAGATTGTATTTTCGTATCGAAAAGTATATATTATATATTCACTATACGAAATCATAAAACAATATGTCTTTAAAAATATACGAAATTTATCAAACTGAAAATCGCTAAATACACAGAAATAGATAGATTGAAAGAAAAATTTTCGAAAGCGACAAAAACTAATGCTTCGGTGAAACTGCGAAAATATGCGTGCGCATAATGTGTTTCGCAGATGTGAAATTGGCGAAAAGCCAAAATTGAAAACGAAAAACCTAGCGAATAAACAGCAGAGATGAATATGCAATGAACTACAACATTGTATTTGCTTTTGTTGTAAACTATGTATGTAGTCGTATGTGTTTATGCGTGGAATGCTATTTCGGCGCTGGATAAACTGTAGCGTTATTTAATATTTAAACTAATTATTGTTAATATTTTGGTGCCAAATGTTTCAGAAATAAGCTCCATCATTTTACAACACAAATTAGTTTGAAAATTTGAAAAGCTAATTTCGAAAATCAATTCGAATTTCGAAAAGTTTTGACTTAGTCGCACACTTGCAATGCAAAATGTATCGACAAGCACTAAAATAACGGGCTGTAAGCGTTTACATTGCTATAATATGGTATACGCACATATATTGGTAAACATATATTGGTAGACGCATCGCCCAGCTGAGAATGTTAATTTTATTTGTGGAAATTTAGAGATTTTACAATATAAATCTTGAATCTGTTAGTGTTTATATTGCATTATATTGTTTTTGTTCGATTTTTGAGCTCAACAAATATGCGAAAATTTGTTGGTGTAAGATCTTTGAGTAATACAAACATGGAGGGAATGAGTTTAGATAATATTTGGTCCTGACTGCTTATGAGGGCTAAATAGCATAGAAGTATATATTCGAAGGTATAAAGAGTCAAAGTATTGATTAGAATAGTTATATATATATATATATACTATTCCCTCTGAACCACCCGTTATGCGATTAAGAAATATAAAGTACTCCACTACTATATATTCTATATATATGTTATATTTTAGGTGGAGTACTTTTATATTTTATTAATCAGCATAACGGGTGGTTCAGAAGGAATCAATAGAGTAGGGCACTTAAGTCCCGGTGGTATGACAATGAGCTTCTAAAGGCTAGATGCGTCATAAGAACTCTACTACCTACCTACCTACCTAATCCCATAACTGTTAATTTTGCGAATATTCAAAACATTTTAATTTGCCAAAAATACTTATATAATTATTAATCGTTTGAGCGCAAGGCATATTGAGAATAATACAGAAATATCAAGATGAAACAATTTCGACAAATATAGAAACTTATCGAAATACTTTATATAAAATTAAGAAAACGCTCATATTAAGTTTCTCTTCATATTTTCCGCTTCTAGGATCCGAAGATATCCGGGCTCATGAGACTCCACGCGTCAGCCGTCCATACAGCTCGTACTTGGACTCGCCAGCCACATACAGGAGCATCTTCGATGAACCCGCCACTGCCAACGAGCGTGTGCAGTCGCATGGCTACAGATACTTGCCAGTGAGCAGAGACACTTATGGCTACTCGCCACGTGCCATCTATGACCATCACTACAGCAGAACTAGTAAGTGTTTGTGAAAATTTACAATAGCTTTGTTTAGCTTTGTATTTAAAATATTATATTTATACATGCAGTCAATAGGGATGTGCCGGCAAAAAAGTTGATTTATTCATTTTCAATAATTAAACGATAATTTTAATTATGCTTTGAGAGTAATAGTAATATTTTACTAAAGTAGTAATAAATAAGTATAAATTCGTTTTGTAAATTTTAAAAATAATAAAATAAAAAATATACATCATATTAAAGTAAAATCTAGCGAAGGTTATCGATAAGTGTTTTTTAATTAAATTTTAAAATAGATATCTTACTAAAGTAAAATTTATCGAAAGATGATTGTAGTAGATGATGTTTAATTAAAGCAGTATTACTTCGTTTCATACATATTGATTATACATCTAATGAATTAATTAAAATTAAATAATGGTTAATAGCCTATTATTATGATTATATTTTTACTGAATTTGCGGCATTGCCACTAACGAATTCGAAATTAATTTATAAAAATTTCCTTTCATAACGATTATTAAATTTGTTCGATAAACTTAGAGTAATGAACTTTCTGGTCGAAATACATAGTAATTTTTACATTATACACATCTTTTCAATTGAATTCGCACAAAATTCAGTTTTGAAAAGACTGATACGCTGATTTTAATAACAAATTTATCGATAAAAGTCGAATTTTTTCGCTATATTTGAAGAATTAAAAATTGTAAAAAGTTAATTTAATGTTATGTTTATGTACCAAATTTTTATTGTTCAATTATTTTTTATCACTTTTTAAAATTATTAATGCCTCAAATAAATAGAACTTTGGCACATCCCTAAAGAATTAAAATATTGGTTTGTCACAAATTGCTGTTTAATAGCTATTATTTATATAGTTTAACTCTATTTTATTAATTATTATTAAATTAAATGCCATTGTCATCATGCATCATCAGCAACTTGAACTTGCACAACAGTGAATTCATAGCTGTCAATGTGTTAATGCTCATAGCAATATTGCGCAGTTAAAAGGCAAATACATATTAATACCATATGTGCTTTTACAGTTACATATACATTTCGCGCACAAATGCATTGCATTCTCGATTCATTTAATACAAATTGTACACATACATTTTGCGCATACTGTGGTCGCTTGTCGATTCATCGCTCAGTGCATAAACCTTGGTTAATTTTAATTATACATTGCATGCGTCATACAAGAAATATTTGCAACACCTCAGAGGTGTTGCGAGTTGGCAAGAATCACCCACTGTGCCACGACAGCATTTTCAGTGTCACCAACAATTTAAATTATAAAAAAAAAATAAACATAAATAAGAAAAATAAATTGTATTTAAATAAAAAAATAAAATAAAAGAAATAAAATAAAATGTATTTAAATAAAAAAAACTAAGTAAGAAAAATAAGTAGATACAATTTTTTTTTATTTTGATTTTAAATTTGAATTCAAAAATAATTAAATAACATACAAACACATAGACACTGCTGCGTCCTGTCAAGCGTTATTAACTTGCACGGGTATTATTTAATAATTTAAAAATAGCCCGTTAACAAATTACGTCAGTTTAGTGTGTTTAGCGCATAACAGCTTGAGCACTAAGTAAATATGCCTACATACATCTTTGCATCTGTGTATGTGTAGATATGTGAGACTCACAGCGTGAATATTGCTCAATTATTTATATGCTGCACATTTTTCTCAAATGTGTAGTATTTAATATTGTATATATATACATATATGTGTGTTTAAATTTCGAAAAAACACAAAATTGTTTTAAATATATATCTTTTCGGCGCTGCTGGCATTCGAAGCCTTCTAATTTGCATCTAAATATAAAATTATCCTCAATTTCAGTCTTCCTGCAAATTGTTGCATTTGCAGCCAATAAGTGGATTTGTACTGAAAATAGTTAAAAAATTTAAAAAAAAAACGAACATAAATAGCAAGGATGTAGTGTAAACTAGCAATCGAAAGATATGATAGGTTTCTGTTTCCTACATTATACGCTATATGTTTCGGGCATATGTGTGTGTACACTTCAATATTTCGTATACAAAACAATAATTTTCAAATCATGAAGATATGTTGTATATACATATATGAGTCTTCTGCTATCATAGCTGTTCCCCACAGTATATATAATATCTATATATTCATGTATGTATAATTTGCCATTTTGGCAACTCGCGTACATATTTGTTATCAAATAACCGGCAGCATTTGTGTGTGTTTGTTTTGATTGCCAATATGTGGCGATTTTTTATATGCCTACATATGTACATAAGCGGTGACATGTAATTATAACGCCTACATGTATACTTGGGGAGTCGTATTATGATTAAAATTATATGTGTGAATCTTTTTCGCCTCATACAGAAGTATGAACGATATTGGCTGTAAGACCTCGCTTCACATTTCAGTGCTATGGTTAAATTTGAATAGGATACTCAGAATTTTAAAGGTAATATTTCAAGTCAGTTAGAACCGTTAGGCATTAAAGTAGTATTTTTACCGTTAATATTAACTATTGAAACTATAAGTTTTTCTTTGTTGTAGGAAAATTATTTAGGTATCAAATCATTCCACATAATTTTTCATTTTGCGCTAAAGATAACAGCTAACTTTAAATGATTACGTTTGGAATCGATGAACTGATCAAATCAATTAGCTAGAAGAATATGTGTTATTTCTCTAAGTTTTATCTGTATTTTTTACTAGCTATCTGTGATTCGCCAAGCTTTGGAGCGTAGCGTACGAACAACTGACATAAATTGTATATATTGGCATAATGAATTACAAGTAAAGATAGCAGATAAGGTATTTAATTCACTATAGTGAGGTATTTTTTACGATACCCTCTTCTATGTTATTGCGTTCACATGTACAATACATTTTTTGACAAGAGGGCTGAGCATCAAACAGAGAGTGCAGAGAAGTGGCTAATCACTGAAACCTGTTAGGAGATTATACGTATTCGCTAGTGGGTTTTATCAATCCTTTACGACAACATAATAACACTTTCAAATAATTTATTTAATTTTCTCACGCTAAAGCCGCACCATTTTTATTACATAATAATAATGCAAAACTGTCTTTTTCTCTTTATCTTTCTCAAAAACATAAACAATACACAAACATTACATAGAGCATGTATAAATGTTGAGATCTGTTTGTAAAGTAGCACATATACTTGTATTATTAAATATTTTAAACGATTAAAATTGCGTGCTAAAGGAAAATCGTTCAAAAAGTGACGAAAATTTTCTTGTCAACGTTAACAAAAAATTTAAAAAAAAATTTTTTAAAAAATTAAAAAAAAATTAAAAAAAAAAATTTTAAAAAATTAAAAAAAAAAATTTTAAATAAATAATAATTACATTAATTAATTTTAAACTATGTATTGTACATTTTGTTAAAATTAATTTAAGAATTCCAATAAAAAGAATTTTGAAAATTCAATTTGAGTTTATCCGTTCATCACTTTTCAATGTAAATGCGTTAATTGTGTTATTGTTCTTAATAAAGTTTTAAATGCAATATTAGTTGGCTAGTGTTTTATTGCGTGTAATTAGCTTTTTGTTACCATACCTTTCAATATAAAAAATTTGAAGAAGCAAATTTCGATAAGACGCATATGCTAATTGACAGATTACAAAAATACTATTGCGGAATACAACAGTGCTTTAGACAATTACTGTACTCTGTTAATTAACAAATCTGCAAATTTTAAAAATCCTCTGCTCAAGGTAGGCGTGTCCAAACACGTGTAGGTACAGACTTTAGTTGCAACATGTTTGTGCTACGAAAGTGTTTTGAGATACCCAACTGCTATTTGCTCCGCAAACAGGTATTTTTTAATATATCAAATATTGAATTTATTAAGTTAATATCAATTTATAAATTCTATTAAATTAAATTATTGCGTTGTTGTTAATTAAACTAAAGTAATCGTTTTATTCAAATAAGAATGACTTATGCAAGCGCCAGTCAATTGCAATTGCGTTTTAATTCGATTTTACAAGCAATTTGATCTTTAATGAAAAAAAATTCTTAGAAATGCATAATGATTGAAGTCATTTGTGTGCAATGCGATTGTCAATTATTTTCACGACCAGTCATACATATGTATGTATTTGAATATTCATTTTCATGCATTCAGCTTCATTGCATTTACGCTCTTGTTGACATAAACGTAAATACGTGAAGACCTACGTGAAGCATATTTCATTCAATTTCGTATTTTTTTGTTACTAATTTTTCATATATGTATTTTTTGTACGCAAATTTCACGTATCTGTGGTTTCATTTACTCTTTTATTAAATTCTGTCATATTTCAGTATTTAAACATAATTTGAGTTATTCGCACTATAAATTATATACTACTTTTTTTCAGTTTTATTATTAACTGTTGTTTATTAACAAAAATATTTTTAAAAAGACAGCAAAAATGAAAGTCACATAAAAGTTTATAAAAAATCAATTATATAAATTAGAAAAAAAAATTCCAAAAGAAAAAAAATACATGAAGCATAATTCATTCAATTACTAATTTTTTTATAGGTTTTTTGCTCGCAAATTTCGGGCATTCATGCTTTCATTTATTCTTTTATTATAATCTGTCATATATTAATATTAAAAGTTAATTCCAGTTATTTATTCGCGCTAAATATTTCTTTCTCAGTTTATTTATTATTAATTGTTGTTTATTAAAGTAAAAAAAAATATTTTCAAAATGAAAAAATAATAAAACAAAATAAAAGTCACATAAAATCGAACAAAATTTATTTGCAACTATTTTTTTTGTACAATCGCTTAAAATTTATCGTCATCTTTAAAATAATTCTATTGAGACATATTATATATATATATATTTTAAAAAATATTTTAAGTTTTTTTCTAATTTTAGTTTTAATTTGTCTTTAAAGTTTTAGTTTATATTATATTATTAATTTTGTTAATATATACACTTTGTTTTACATACTTACATATTTATTATATTATTTAAATTAATTATTTTTTGATTTAATTTTGATAACAAAGTATTTCTAACAAATTAAATTAAATTTCATAATAAAGTATTTTCCAAAAAAAAACATACATTTAATTTTATATTATTATTTTTTAAATTTTGTATATTAAATTAAGCTTGATAATAAAGTATTTTCAAAAAAAAGCTTAAGTTAATCTAGCTCTTATGTTTACATTTTTTCTATTTTAATTTGTAGTAATCATAATTTAAATTATTAAAAAAATATTATTTGCAATAGGAAGAATTTTAACTAATTTATTTATTTAAATTTTTTCTCATCATTTTTTCATACCGCTTCCGCTTGGACACATGCTATAAAATGCTTACGCAATTTCACCAACGCTTTTTTGCTCATTATTGTATGTATTGCCATGGATTTTACTTGCTAATGAGATTTTGCGTCTAAATGCTTTACTATTTTCACTGTAAGCCAAATTTATTTAATTTTTATTTGTATGCTTCTACAAAAATTGCATTTCAATATTAATTTTTATTCTAAATTTTTCCAGTTCCAGCCAATTACGACGCAGAGAGGGCTTGGAATGATCATTTGAAGCGCATGCAAGAAATCGAACGCAGGTGAGTTGTAGGGGAAAAAATATATTTAAAAAAAATTTAAAAAAACGTTAACTTCGGGTGCACCGAAGGTATAAGACCCTTCACAAATAAAAAATTTTCCGTTCGATCGGTCAGTTTGTATGGCCGCTATATGCTATAGTGATCCGATCTGAACAATTTCTTCGGATATTGTAACGTTGCTTTAGGCAATAATGCTTGCCAAATTTCATGAAGCTATCTCGTCAAATAAAAGTTTTCCATACAAGCAGTTGATTTCGATCGTTCAGTTTGTACGGTAGCTATGTGCAATAGTAGTAGTTTGAGCAAAGTTTTAGAATAATATCTCACAAAACTGGAGAACAAGTTCTAGGTTATGTAGGACAGATAAGGATGTGGGGAATAAAGTTCAATTTTCTCTTCTTCTCTTAATGCTGCCTATTAATTTGCTTCTTTATTACCATTAATATAAAATTTATATTCTAAATAATTTCCGACTTTCACTTAAAATTTCTTGGTTTTTCTCTCTTTTATTATAGATACCCATCTCGTTATGGTCTCTACTTGAAGGACAAGCCATACACACCCAACGCTTTGGTGCCTTTGGAATATGAGCCAGAAGATAAGCTGCTCCAAGAACTCAACAAGGGTAAGGAATTTTAAATCTTAAGTTAAAACAACAATAATAAGAACAGCAATCAAAAAATATTTATACTCTACTAAAAAAAAAAAAAAAACAACAACAAAGCGTAACAAAATACACAACAACAATATTTACAAGAACCAAAAAAAAAATAAGTAAAACGAACAAAATTTATATGAAAAAACTGAAACGAAGTAATCAATTTGCTATAGCTATTTAACGAATTACATGTAGATAATTGCAAATATTGTAAACACGAGTCAAGTAGCGCAAAGAGAAAAAATGAAGAATTACAAGAAATGAACTCGCGTATCCTCTACACTGCAAAGAATTTTTTCAAATTCAATTAAGAACAAAATAACAACTATGCAAACTAAACAATAAACATTTTCAAACTGCTCACTCAGCGAAAATTACGAAAAAATTGGCAAACTTAATTGGAGATATATATAAAAATATGGCAAAATTTTGAAATGAAAAAGGATTATTTAATTATATATGTAAGTAAAAGAAGTCGAGTGAGCGCACACTAGGCAATGAGATATGCAAACACCTGTACATATATGTAATACTACTACTATATACTAATTGGCGCCTCACATGGAATTTATATTTATATATATATTAAATGTTTTTGTAATTTTTGGCGTAAGAAAAATTTTTGCTAATATTTTCATGAAATATGTATGTTTCTTTCTATATTTTAATTGTTATACTTGCAGCCCGAAATATTTGAGCAAATAGCCAATTTTCGCTAGCTAATCTACATAGCTGCACAAAAGTTCGTACTGAACAGATAATAAATGCTAGCGTATGCAACAAAAACAAAGCCAATATATACAATTAAATTTTAAAAAAATTTTAAATTAACGTAGTCTTGGCATTACAACTTTTTTTGTCTGTAAATGTTTGAATTAAAATTAGATATACATATACACATATCTCTAAATAAATAGTGAAATGATTAATTGTATATACATACATACATACAAAGATTAGTTTGAGTAAAGTAGCGAAAGCGAAGATCTAAGATCAAAGCAACTAAATGAGTTCGAAGAGAAGTGCAAAACAAACAAGCAGAAATTCGTTAAATGTTTCATTGTATTTAACGTCATAAAACATATGTTTACTTTTAATTTAAAGAATAAATACTGAACCAAAACAAACTTACTTACATATCTTATATTTAGTTAATAATGATGAAGTAGGAAGAGAGAAAAAACTGATAAAAGCTTCATTAAAATTAAAATAAAACAAAAAACCCAAATCAAAATAGTTTTTATTTAATATATTTTAATGAAATATATTAATTAATCATTTAACAACAACTAAACTCAATAATATAAAAAATTAATTACGTGTAATGGACTTCAACTGAAATAGGGCAAGTGAAATGCCGGCTTTTAAAGAATAAAATTAAATAATTAAAATAAATTGAACGATATAAGAAATTTTTTGAAAATCAGTGCTGATTTTGAGTTAAAATATTAGAGTACAAAATTAAAATATTAAAAAAACAATTTTTTTTTGTTTTCAATATGCTTTATTCCAAATAGTTTTTTCTAAGTTTTCTGACTAAAAAAATAAGATAAAACATTGTTTTTTTCACTTAATTTCTTGTAATTATTTTTTTTAACAATAGTTTGAACTTAATTTTCAAAAAAAAAGTGTTTTTTAGTGATTAAATTTCTTTTAATTAAGTTTCTTTAACAATAGTTTTAGCTAAATTTTTTATTTTAAATTTTCAATAAATTTCATTTGAAGTCCATAATTCTATTTTTCATGAATTCATTATATTTACTAAATAAATACTATTTAACTATTTAATACTAAGTAGCTCATTAGATAATCTCAATAACAGTTAAAATTGTGATCAAGAGCTTTGATGAGAGCGATATTGCTGGGGCAGCTAAGAGGAAAGGAGTGTTTCAGGTAAACACTGAAAAAATTTAATAAATTAATGGCAGGAATAATCAGAAAAAGAAGAACGTTTTAGAAATGCTGAACAGAAAATCTTTCAATATTAATGCAATAAAGATATAGGTATTGTAAAGAGCAGCGCTTAACTTAAATTGCTTTTGTGTGGACTTTTGAACACACTTGTAGATACAAATTAAATATTGCACAGAGAGACAGAGCGTTTTTCAAAACAAATTAAATTATATTGTTTAGTTAATAACAAACAAATTTTTAGAAAGTTATAGAAGTTATAGGTTAAAATGGGAACTCGAAATGCAAGTTGCTAGATTTATCAAGAGAGCCACATTATACGTTTGTTCTGATTGGATTTTAATAGCATATTGGGAAGAGCTGCGGGCGAAGAGAGTGACAACTTCTTGCTGTACTTGAAATACTAGAAGTGCTAACCAATTAGCAACACATATATATAAAATTAAAGCATCTTAGAAAATAAAAATAATAACAATAAAAACAAAAAAGAAAAAAGAAAAAAAAGAAAAGAGCCACAAAATAAGAATCTCAGTAAACTACATATCTAAGAATTATACTTACACTAAACAAAACAGTAAAATCATATAATGCAAGCCTAAATAAATCATTTATTTAACATATAAAAAAAAAGTAATCAACAACTTTTGTTTTCTTTATCCTCACCATCAAGTGACACGGATTTTGGGATTTTGAACTTCACTTCACTTGTAGTGGGTTGATTTTTTCCAGCAAGAACAAATTTATAATTCCTCTAATTTCATATTACTTATAAATTTTCATTTCTCCATTGTTTACTAATTTTTTATTTATTTTAATTTCAATTTAAATATTAATTTTGCACATTCATCATTTTTCTTTTATTTTACTTACTTTTCATTTGCTGTACTTTATCTATCTATCTGTGATTTTGTATGATTTCGTAACGTAAATCGTACTTCGTCCACCTTGTACAATACATTCCTTAACTCAACTAAATAAACTTAATTAATGTAAATAAATCGAAATTAACGCGCAAATCAATACACAAAATCATGCATTGTGCATTCGCCTGTAAATACTGCCAACCCAAAAGAATATAATTCTAATCAACAAAAAATAAAAAAAAAACAAAAAAACAACTCAGGCAAATTATCTACAAATATTTATTATTAAAAAAATAACCCGAAAACAACATAAAATGAAATATTTAACGAAAAAGCATATGAAAGTATGAACAAATTGTGTAAAAAATTGTTAAATGTGTTTATGTACTTTGTTGTAATTGTTGAAATTTGTAAAGCAAAGTAAACAAAAATATTGTAAACAAAACAGCGCAGCAAAACTGTTGATTATCTGTATAAAGCCACTTCTCTCCTTTGTAATTTTCATGCGCACACAAATTGAATATCTTAATTCCATGTTTCATGATTGAGCGACTTGTTTGACAGCGTGACCATCCGCCTACTTTTGTACACCAATTGGCAGCTCCATTCACATTTTTCAAAAACACGAAAGTCAAACGTACGCTCTCTTGCAGCCATTGACCGTTATGTATTATATAAAGTGCTGTTTTTTTCTTTTGCGAAAAGTGAAATGTCAAATGTAAATATATATACATACATATATTTTTATTATTTCGTTTGCAACTTTCCAAACGCTCCACAAATTGTTTAAATAGTCAGAATTCTGACACATTTAATTGAGTTGACAATTTGATTGCAATGCGAAAAATTATACGCATCTGCGTTATTTGTACTGCAGGAAATTCGCTGGAAATGTATTTTTTTTTTTTTTCCACCAAAAATGTAAAGTTTTTCCTTTTGTGTATTGTTTCGTGTGTACAATCTTTGTGATTGTCAGTTAATTTTTATTTGTTGAATAAGTAATGGTTTTGCGAATGGAATGTTTAGGTGCAATAGTTTTGACCCTTTTGTAGAGTTGTGTATTTTGAAAATGCGGTAAGTACATGTGTTTAGTAAATAATCACACTATTTATAAAAATTTTGAGAAATAATTGGAACTGGAGTGAGAGTATAATAGCAAGAAAGTACAACAGTTGACCTTATTAAAGAAAAGAATTAGGCTGCACACTTAGCACAGCAGCAAGTCAAGCAACAAACTCATTGCGGATATTAGCAACGATTATTGATGTTTTTATTTTTAATTTTTTTTTTTTAATTTATAGTGTTTTAAAATTAAAATTGTTTAGCTAGCAAACTTATGACGCTGAGGTCTTTCAATGGTTGAAACATTCTCACAACTCACAAAAAATATTAAAAATAGATAAAATCTAAAGATTAGATTTTTAATTAGATCAATAAAAAAAACCAAACAATGTGGTAGGTTATGGTATGGAGAACTATATACAGCTCATGCAGAAACTTATAACCGAATTTGATAGTCATTAAATACATATATACAGCTCATGCAGAAACTTGTGACAGAATTTTATAGTCTTTGAATCATTCGTCTCCGAGTAAACGGATTTGATATTGATATTGATTTAAATTTTGGTATGTTATTTTTAAAGGCCTAACCTATCAAAATTTGAAAAAAAATTAATTTCTTTATTTCACACTGATTGTTCTTCAATTTTGGAAACTTTAAATTATTTCGCATTCATAATTCATACTGTTTATATTTAGTACTAGTATTCTTTCTGTTTGCTTATTTATAAGAAACAAATGTCTATGATAGATGGAAATATGGCTTCGCATTTCTCGTCAATCAGTTATTCGCTAAAATTTTGATAGGTAATTTTTTACTTAATGGCCTTTCTGACACATTCGGCAATAAGGATCGGACAAAATGTTTAGCAAGAACGCATGGATATAGAATAGTCCTAGAAGCGGCTTAGATGTACCATGGGCATTGACTTTTTAAGAAGTGGTTTGGATATAGGTATATAGGATTACATATTACTTGATAGATATTTAAAGACCTCTTACGACGTACCATGGACCTTGACTCTAAGTATATTTGATGCTAAATGTGAACAAAGGATCTAACCATCATCCTGAAGGCTGCAATTCGTAGCACTCGGAGAATTACTCTGCCGTATGACCTGAATAAGTGATACTGAATTAAAGGCAGTAGAGTCCGTTTAACTGTGATTTAACTACACATTTTTCTCAAGTAATAAGAATAAATGAAAACGGAAATATCCATACCATATGCCAATTGTACTGAGCCTGATAGCACTTTTAGCAGTAATGTTGACGGTTCATACATGAATTCGTTGTGGTGGCTTCCATCTTCAAAGACTTTGTTAAACAATTTAGGGTACTTTGCAGCAGCATATTTTACACAACCGAGGCATTATCTTTATTTTGCTTCAATATTTGGCTTTCATGAGAGATCCGATTTTACCACTGGCTTAAACTTTGCCTTAAAAGCAACTGTAGTTAAATATTTTCCAGTACGAGGTTGAGATATTTTGTGAAGTTAACTAACTATATCTTACTCGAATTGATACAAAGTTTTTAAACCGCCCAATTCTTACCCAAAACGAGATATATTTGAAATAGCCGTAGGCAGTGTTCAGGAATTCTAATTCGAAATGTAAAAGGACCCGCAGTTATGATATAAATTACGAGAATTCACGGTGAAGTCTACGTGAAAGAGAGAGACTGAAAGAAATTTGACTGCCTCACTTTGATGGGCTAGCAAGCTATGTAGATTATTTGTATATGCACTAATGAAATGAGGTTAAATGTCCCTATAATATGTACATATGGAAAACCTTCAAAAATATTTACTGCTTTTAAATGACACAAATTCTTTATTAGGCAGGATGGGACCTATCACCGTTCGAACTGATTTCTATTCCTCCTGATCATACATTTTGAATTGGGCATGAACATGACCTTTATGGTGTGACTGGCACAATACCGTAAAAGAATTCGAATAACCATGCACAGCATATAGACTATGGTTTCGAGTGGTGCTCGGCCAACAGTTTACAGCTGTATATTAACATACCTATATGTGTATTTACCCAATATCAACATATTGTTTTTGGTAACTTGAAGCATATGCAGTCATAATGCATGTGCATATTTTAAAACTTTCACTGTTTCACTACCAATATGGAAGCTTTCATGTTTTGCATTAAGTAAACACCAGTACTTTGTCAGGGAGAAATGAAGGGTGAAGCAGATTTCGTTTCATATTCCGTTCAGCACAGGTATGCATATCTGTGTAAATACTCGTTTAACCACTTTTCGAAATACGTATAAACAAATAACTATGGAATTGCATACTTTTTATGGAACATTTCATTTGCATTCAATGTTAGGAAAAATATACAGCTGTTGGTGCAGTATTTAATCATTCTTGAATTGCTGCTAGTTTGACAAGTACAAGTAAACACTTGAGAAGTACTTCGTTTATTTGTGAGATTTATAATTAGTTTCTTTGACACACTTGTTTGCTTGGTATGAAAATGGAGTACAAATACCGATGCGCTTTGAAAACTTTTTTGGAAAAAAACTAAGGAAAAAGAAGCGTTTATGTGTCTAATTCTGAGATATTTTTTTACTGTTATGACAAAATATTATTAAAGATTGAGTATTGAAAATTTACTCTTATAATGACAAACAAATAGCATTTACAACAATTTGCAAAGGCCTCTGGCTATACAAATATATATAATTAATATATGTGTAAAAAATTTGTGAATTTCACCTTCACTTTCAGTATTGTTTTAGTTCTAAGTGTTACTTTGAGATTCCGCTAATCCAATCCTAATTATTTTAAAGAAGATATAGCCTTAGCTTTCGTCCGATCAGCGTTAAACATGCTTTTTAGATACAATTCATTGCTTGCGTCAGAGTCCCTAATAAATTTCTTATTTAAGGTTTTGCCGAAGGTGAGTATCGCCATATCGGGTGGTGAAATTGTCTCTTTGGTCGACCCGAATAAGAGTATCCCACCATAAAAAAGGTCACAAGTACCTTAGTCGAAGAGAAATAAATAACTGCATTATTTAACCCGTAAATTTTTTTCCAGTAGAAAAATAGTGAAGTTAGCAGAGTCGTACAACAAATTACCTTTTCTCATAGACATATTTGTGATAACTGTGAACGAATGAGAAGATAGCAAACTACTATATCAGGAAAGATTAACTTAGAATATTGCTCAAACAAATTTAGTAAATCTTAGCATTTTAAAGCCCTTCGGTAATAACACAGGCATTCCATAAACTTTTAACAATGAAGATAGGTTTGTTTACGGTCGGTTAGACAATTGGTCTCTAAGATATAGTAACACAAGAAATCTATCTTACAAATATTTTCTTTAGAAGCCAAGAGATAAAGAAAAGGTCTTTCAAAAAGTAAGGATGCCACATTCTAAGAATATTGGTTTTTCTTTTTAGGCCGAGTCATGTAAAATAAAAACAGTCATTTCGCAACTAAATTTTAGTATAGTAACAATTAGCAAATGCCATACATAACTCCAAAAAAAAAAATTATATGTATACTTTTTTCTAAGTAGGATCAGTTATGGCTTATAAATGCGATTTTAGTACAACTACCACGTACCAGCCTTAAGTAACGTAGTCTCAGTAAACATAAAATGATATCGTGTGCCGATTCACTTTTATTTTGGTTATACTCTTCACTCCACTTAAAATTAATGACTTAAAAAGAAATATTAACTTAACTTAGTTGAAAAACAAAAATTGCTAACGACTATATGTTTGTTACGCTCTCTCATTTGCCACTTTTACGGTACTTCTATCTTTGCAGCTCGCAGATCGCCATCACCACGCCCAAGTCGTTATACTCGTGCCGGCAGTGAACCGTACGTGCCACCACCAACATACTGGAGCCGCGCACCAAGCGTATCGCGCGCCCCATCTGCTTTTGAGCGCGCACGCAGCTTGGCACCATCCTTGTTCGATCGTGCACGCAGCTTGGCACCCAGGCCATTGTTCCGTGCCAGCTCGTTGGAACCATTGGATGAACTCTTTGATAGTAAGTTAGCTGATAGAAATTTTGAGCGTGCCGGCTCACCAAGTCCCACTCCCGTTAAGGCTGGCCGCTGGGGACCACGCCCCAATGAAGTCTCCTATGATGCTAATGGTACGAGCAAATGATTGCGCTTGAAAAGCACTCGCGTCACCTAAGCTGTAGTCGCCATCATGCAATAGACACACCCCATCGCACTCTATCCGCATATCCTTTGCTATAAGCAAGCTAGTCCCTATCCTCGCAGGTCTGCGACGTCAGCAGGGTGGCGTGTATTGTGCAAATGAGTTGCAAAACAAAATTTCTTTTATTTTGTTCAATTCGGTTTTAGTGTTGCCGTTTATGTTGCATCATTTTATTATTGCTTTTTTTGAATTGAAATACATTCGTTGCTTCCGGCATTTGGAGTAATTGAATTGAATAATTGTCAGCCTGAAATTTAGTGCGCATGAAAATGTCATGAAATTATGATTTTTATACCTTTTGAATATTAATTGGTATTTGGTACGGCAGTATGAGAAAAAAAAGTATTAATTTGTGAAATTGAGTTTGTGAAATTTATATTTGTTTTTTTTTTTGTGCTTTACGCCAATAGCATCAGAGCAATTAAATAAAACTCGTGCCTCAAAAACAATGCCCCGTCCGAAGCTTGCAAAGCTTTCGATGTCCCTAAGCCAAAGTGACCCTAATTTTAATTATGTAAATGGCCTAAGAAATGGTTATAATTTTTGTTTTTCATTTATTGTCATTATCTTCTTGTTTTATGTTTTATTAGTATTTTACTTTGCGTTTTTTTTTCATTATTTTATCAGAACGGTATATTCGTGTTTGGAATGTTTTAATAACGTATTTGTTTGTTTTATTTTTTTCTGCAATAATTTTGACATTTTCTCCTTTAAAATATTTAATATTATTTTATTGCTAGATTTTAGTATTCCTATTATTTTTTTTTTTTGGGTTTTTTTCTTGTTAAAGTATAATTTGAACTTCATTTGATGTTAAAAGTACAAAATTTATCGAAAAAAATTTAAATATTAGTATACTTTTCTATACAATTTATTTTAAATAGTAGAAATGATTATTTTTATTTTGAAATTTAATTTAAATAAGTTTGTACTTATAAAAAAAATAACTCTGAAAAAATTGTAAAAAAATTAAAAAAATCTTTAAATAATTTTTTCAAAAATTCAAAACTTTAATAATGTTCCTTAGACTTTCTATAGTTAAACATTATTAATATTAAAACAATTTATATATAACTGAAATATTTAGATTAAAATAATAATTTTCAGTACATATAAAAATAATAATTATATTAAGTAGCTTTACATGCAAATTTAAGAATTTCAAAAACAAAAAATGTATTATTATTAAAATTAAAAAAAAAAAATTATTAAAAGCAAAAAAATTTTTTTAACCACATATTTTTTGTTACTTTTGCCGCATATACTTTCAGAATAATTCAAAAATCTTCAAGTTATAACTTGTTTATAAGTTGACATGTTTTTCTTGCAAATTTTTTTTGAAAAAATCTTTGTGATATCGAAATATCGGAAAATTTAATCTAAGAAGAGATAAAAGTTCGATGTTTTTTTTTTATTTAATTAATTAAATTTTTTTGTTTTTGAAAGCTAAAAGATATATGTTCGTGTAAAGCTATAATATAAAGTTTTTATTTTAAATATTAAATAAACAATTTTTTCTTTGATAATTTTTTTGTCACTTTCGCCGCAATTCCTTTAAATATTAGAATCTTCAAATTATAGTTTGTTTTATAATTTGATAATTTTTTTTTTCAATATTTTTTTTGAGTAAAAATGTCTTCGTGATACCAGAATATCTGAAAATTTATTTTAGGAAAAGCTAAACTTTCTATGGTTTGCATTTTAAGTTGGTTATTATAATTATTTTTTACATTTTTAGCTCCATTTAAACATTTTTTATCAATATTTTTTTATATATTTTTTTTTATTTTTCATTACATAAAATTTTGATCATATATCTCTTTTGGCTTACTAGTTTTTTCCTAAGCATGGCGAGTACCTTATGGTTTTTTTCCAACACTTTTATTTAAAATATTCAAATGCTTTTTAGCATTTACTTAAACTCCAAACAAAATTTGATTAGTTTTTTATGACTTTCATGTATTTTTTCATCTTCCAAAGCATGCATTACATGTTTCCTCTAAGAAAAAAAATAAAAAAAACCTAGCTAAGCACAATTCTTGCGAATATTTACTTGTATGTGTGCAGCTATCACAGCTCTTAGTGTATGCTCTTAGTTGCTTTTGTAGTGAATATGTATGTTGTACGCAGCGCAAAAAAAGAAAAAATCAATGACTATGTGTCGGGTCCCAGCAGCGGCAAGTTTCCAAAAACCGTCATTCCAACACGCTGGCCTAAAAAAATTAGATTTTCCTGAAAACGCATACATAAAAACAAATATGTACATATGTATGTGTAAGCACGCACATGGAAAACAACAATGTGCATTTAATACACAATATTTAGTTTTTGTTCTAAAACATTGTTTTTCTCTTTTTTTCCTGTGTTTTTTTCCAAAAATGAAAAAAAAAATCATAACGACGCGTCGCTAATTATTGTTATAGTTTAAAAAAACACAAAATTTTCTTTCTACTCTTCTTACTGCAAACATCACGCTGTCACTACAACAACATAAACAAAATAAAATCAAATAAAAAACAAAAAAAAAAAAACATTCCATGCAACATTGCATGGATATCAACTACAATCATAAACAAAAAATCATATTATATTGGCATTAATAATATCAAACAACAACAAAAACAAATAAAAACCCTTAAAAACACAGGACTTCCCATCTTCCATCCACGCAATCGCTTCAGGGATTTGTTGAGCCCCAATCCTTATGCGCCCATCTCAGCATTCACACGCGATCCCTTCTGGTGGGATGTCGATGATTTGTTGCCCCTTCGTGCCCTATCTGTGCCACGTGCCCTCTCCGTGCCAAGGGGTTCCAGCCCCATTACACGCGACTCGTTCTTGTCGCCGGTGAAGAATCGTTACTTGTGGTCCAGACATCCAGCTAGACCATTGACCCGTAAGTATTTGTTGCATTTACAGTTATACTTGCAAAAGTTTTGCTCTTTATTTACTTATTTATTTACCTATTATTGAACAATATTTGTATTTGATTGAATAAAGTGGATTTTTTCTCACTTTGTTCTGTATTGTGATATGGAATTGTTGTTTACATACCCATCCTTAAGGCACACCAAAATCTCATATGTCCCATATCTTCAAAGTACACATAAGACAAGAATTTTTAAAGCACAGTTTGAATATTAGCAACATATATTAATTAGCATTACTCAAAATTAGCTTTTAGATCTTACCAATGCACAGAGAAAGTAGCATATAAATTTATATTTGAAAGTTTTCAGTTTATAACACTCATATTAATCACTCACACAACACACTCACTCTTGAGTTTTTCTATTTTAATATCTGTTCTCACTGATATTATTTTACATTAACTCATATGTTTTTATTTACGTTTAAACAAATATATATACAAAATTTAATATATTCTCTATCTACTAACTAAATCACACTTAACATATTTTGGATTGGCATTAAAAACCTTGCACACTCTAAATAATTGTAATTGCTTATCATTGAGTATATAATATATAAGGAAATTAGTCAAGTGGCTGATTTAGCTTTTTGAAATCCCCAAAAGTCATCCTAATGGCGCACGGTGCACGATTTCTCTTTAATCTAATGAGAAAATTTATTTGATTTTAATTTGAAATCGTCAAATCGCGTAGAGAATATTTATTTACGGGTCTATTATCAAAACTTGTTTCGAGAAGCTCTGAGAATATCGGCGTCTTCTGTCTTATACTCTTTCGAAATGTAAGAAAATTGTATGTTTCTCACAAATCTATTGTATTATCTATGCTTTCAACCATTCTTCGTATCGCAAAATGAAATTCAGATAACGAATAAACATTAATTTACACTTATAGGCAGATATGGTAGTAATGTATAATGGGTCTGCCAGTATCAAAAATATATATTGTGAGTTCGAATTGGCCGAAACAGCAATTTTTCGAAACAAAGAACACAACATATTTTGTAATCCAGTGGCAAGGCGCAGTGTTGCTTTTAGCAAGCATGAATCGGCATGCTGATCATTTATATGTATATATATAAATATATTATATGGTCTCCGACGTTTCGTTTTGGGTGTTACACACTTCGTGATAAATAGTATCATTATTCTGAACAATATTTACGACAACAAAGAAGATCGTCAAAAACTTACAGATAATCAATCATAAATGGCATTGCACTAGAATAGCATGACACAACAAAATGTTATCAAATAGAAAAAGAAAATATTAGAAAGTTTAAAATTTTACATACTGAATGTTTTTTACAAATCATGTTTAACCATAAAGTAATAAAAGAAATCAGTCATTCAATCATTTCATTCATCAAATTTTCAAACATCAAAATTTATCACCTCGAACAAACAGAAACCGACCTCTCATTAAACTCTTGTATATATATAATCTTCTTTACATTTTTATTAAAACAAAATATATTTTCTCAATATGTATCTCTCTGATCATTTTCATAACAGCTGAAGGCGATGAAATTTTCTAAAAGGAAATTTACTAAAAACTTTGCATAATACCGACAACGAAAAAAGAACAAAACAAAAATTTATCAAAACGAAATTTAACGGCTGTTTATCAAACCCTTAACGAACATTAAAAAATAACAATAACTTTGCAAAAAAAAAGTTTAATTGCAAAAACTAGAAATTTCAAATAAAATTACAATTTTATCAACAAAAGTAAAAACAACGCAGCATATTATAACATACCTATATATATATTTATATATATTTAGCATAAAAAATCTCTTCACTACGCTGAAGAAAACCAGTAATCTGTATACTTATTTACTACATTTACTCCAATTCTTTGTTCTAACCAACAGCCAGCCTTTAAGCCAAACAAATTGTTAATGAAATACAAATGCAATTACTCGTACATTATTATAAAAATTGGTAAGGCAACATTTGACATTTGTAAATATGTTTTCCATGCATGACAGTTCTTACTTGCTTGTAGAGCGCCATCTACTGCACGACACAAAATTCGAAATTAGTAGCGTTGGTCATTAACGCCTGCAAATTGGTAGTGTTTCCTTATATTTTACGCATAAATATGTAGTGTGTTGGTAGTACAAGTATTTTAAATAATTATTTGTTTAAATTATAAGTGTATCCATATATTGCTGGAATTTTTAGTAATTTTTTCTTGTATATTTATAAAGGAAATATTCCAACAAGTGTTTGGTTAAAAGAAATTTGATGCCCTTATTTAATAGTTATTTTAAAAATGCTATAAAATTGAGTTCATATCGACTATCGTTCGACCTTGTCTTGTAGACATTCACTTACTATTCCCTATACTCTATGACGTGATATAAATTTATAATCAAACACTTTTTTAAAGATAGGTCACAACACTATAACACACTGAATTCGTTTCAGATATGGATAAATTTTACCAAACTGTCGTAAGACAATATGAGGGCTCACCCTCACAATGTGGCTCCAGATTTTTCTCTAACATTTTAAATTAAAATTTAAATATTGCAGGAACAAGATTTAGAAAATTCAAAAACTTTTTTGAGTTAACTGTTTTTAGACTTGTATATGTATTTACATAAAAGTCAATGTCCTCAACTAAATCTTGTTCAAAGAATTATAAAAAACTTCCAAATAATATTACTGTGGCTTTTGAACCAAATTTCAAATCAGCTTCTTTTCGCTAACCTCTTGGCAAAATAAATGTTGAGAATTCCAACGCGTAACTCTGTGGAGATACCAAGAGGATTCACTAATAACTAGAAACTGAGTTTGTTCGTAACTAAATATTTGTGGTTGCCACTATATGTAGCTCTGTGGGTTAAGTGCATAGCTACCCAATCAGGGTGCTCGTTGCTGACATGAAAATGCTTAGCATACAATTTATTAGCTGTCAAGAGGTGCACACCTAGCTGAGGTTTAAGCTTTTCATGATATAATATATCGTCTCCAACATATTGTTGACAATTGCGGCAGTCACGTTTCTTCTATTTGGAATAAATCGCCACACCGATTCGGAATAAATTTTCTCCTCCATTCAGTGATGTTTCATAATTAATTGAACTTTGGAAGGTATTGCCATCTTAGAAAAATAAGACGAGTGAAGTTTTGGAATTTGACAAATATTAATAATAATGCTGCATAGTAAAAAACAAATGTTTTCTAAATTGAATTTTTTATAGCCCATAACTATTTGCGTGCATTAAATTAAAATGTAGAAATATATAATTCTCAGTCATTACATTTGTTGGAACTTTCTACTCTAAGGCAGTTAATACGTAGTGAAATACCCAAAAGAACGCTTGTGGTTCAAGTAGTGCTTTTTTGAGCCGCAAAAAATAATATTCTCTTTAGTATATAGTAATTGTATGTAACACCGTAGTTTGCTTGAATGTGACAAAATTTATATGGAATTTCAAGCAAATTTATAATATATACTTGAATATATATAAAATTAAAATAAATACAACTAATACATTTGTATTTTACAGCACACCGTACGATTTTGTAAACACGACGACAATTTAAAAAAAATATATATAAATGCGAGCTTTTTTCGTATTCATGAAAGAAGCAAAACGAATAATGAAACGAGGGCCAACTAAGGAAGAAATCGAAAATATACTAAATTAGTCGACCTTATCCAATAAAACGAAAATTTTTTCAAAGCATAAATAAAGAACACCCACAAAAACAACCAGTAAATTAATAAAACTCATGGAAACAAGAACTTCAGTGAATTCAATTAATACAAATCGGAGTGGGTGGACAATACCAATAAAATAAATATAACAACAACAACATCTATTATTAAAATATTTACGATTCAGTTTATTTACTTACACGATTTTGTATTTTGTATAGAGAATGTATTTATTTCAATTTTTTGTGCTGCCAATGACGACAACTCTGGAACATAATATAAACAAATCAGAAACGAAATAAAAATATAAAAAAAAAATAAATAAAAATATTATAAAGTAAAAAAAGACCTGAGTGCATATTTCCCGATATTAGTTTTCGCTAACTATAGCAAAAACGGAATCATCTTTCGAGTTTTATTCATAATAATAACTTTTCAATAAGTATTGCAAGCATTATGTGTAAAAAAATGATTTACATTTATTCTTAGCGAGAGCACGCGCGCTTCACAAAGAGCGCGAGATGGTTTAATGTTTTAAGATTACAGTGAGCTTATTCGACACTGTGGTCTTATTAGGTTTAGGCGTTATGTAAGAAGTACTTGTATTGTTCCTTTTTTGTATATTTGCGTAAGTTTTATTTAAATGTTAAGTTTGGATAAATGAAGAAAACATTTTGCAGTAAAATATTTCTGTTTAAACACACAAAAAGAAAACAAATGAAATAAATGTGTACACAAACTCATTCACAAAATTGTGTGTGCCAACGAATTCTTTGTCTGTGCGTGTAATTGTAAAATTTGTTAAAAATTAACTGAATTGTATATATCTGCCAACTTTTTATAAAATATGAATGCTTATACACAAATAAATAACGCAATGACAATAACAACAACACACAATTGGAAGTGTTCGCAAATTATTTTGAAATGAATTCAGAAATGAAAAATGAGGTGAGAATTTCCGATTAAAAATTAGGGTTTTCTGATATTAATTTAAATAAGGTGAAAAAATAAATACTTCTTTGGGACATAAAAACTTAAGTTTACACCAAATTTTGAGAAAGAAAAACAGTTTTTGTACAAGATAAAGTAAACAAAAATTTAATTGTATTATGTGATTTTTGAGGTTATGTGAAAAAGGTGTAAAATTTGTAGATCTTTCCATTATCTACAACTTTGCCAGATAACTTTTTTCTATAGCACTCGTAGTTTTGCCATAAATCATAAAATAGGAGAAAATAGGAACATATATTAAGTCACAGATAGTAATCACGTACTGTCAGGTCCGCACCATAAGATGGATGAATGAGAACCTCCCAACTAAGCTCCTGCAGCTTCTGGCGAGTCACTATCCCGAAACACTTAATGCTGGCAGCTACTGGGCGATTGCTTTCTTCAGATGTTCCAACTACTTTAGAAATGAACCCTGTTGCGACTCAAGTTGCGGATGGAAATTTGGTCCATGAGGTTATTTTTCGTTAACTCGTTTTTGCGCAAAATTTGGCACCTGAAACAGTGCTTATATGATGGTCGACGACTTCCATTAATATAGCGATAAGTAGCATTCACAATTGACCTTCAAGAGTGTAGGTGATTGATTGATACAGTATTGGGACCATAAACACTATTCACATTTCAGCCACCTGGCTTACATTTTTGCCTTCATAGAAGAAAAACTTTCCCTTTTTTCTTTTTTTTTTGGATTTATTTTTCTTAGACCTAATATATATAGATGAATATGCCAGTAGGTAAACAAATTTTTGGCATGTTGGTATCAAACTATAAGATATTAATAAGGCTTCCATTTAAAAAATGTTTTGAAAAGTGTTGCCACCTTCTTGATATATTTTATTCAAGTGAACTAAACGAATTATTTTAAACAATGTTAGGGGTTATGAATCGCATCTAAGACTGTTTTGCCATGATATTCCTTGAATATTCCTTGTTTATACTTGTAGCAAAAGCTCTCAGGTATTTTAGCATACTATGTACCTTTTTTTCTTTCCAAATTCCAAATATAATATAAAATTCAAATAAAACGAAAAATTTATAAACATGCAAACAACCACTTTCGCCGAGAGCAATAAAATCGGCCAAATAGCTTAGAAATTGTATAAAAATTGCGTGTCAAAAACTTTTGCACACGTATTTAACGAATACAATGATGTAAGAATACAACAACAGCAATAGAGAAATATGAAATAGTAACGCCTAGCAAACCATTCATAATTGGCACTTCAATTGATATAAAAAACTGCGAGTATAATAATTAAAAAAGAACCTAAAGCTATTATTTAGTACTAATAGCGCGCTTAGAAGACACTTGAGCGAGAAAAGAAAGGCAAACTAAAAAGTAAGTGGCCACAAGAACAAAATTGACAGGCACTTGGAACTGAAGGATGTAACCACACACAAGCACAAACAACGAAATAGGAGATATACATATAAGTATATACATATGTAGATAGAAAAAAAAAAACAAAAAACAAAACTGTTAAGTCACCCAACCAATTAATAAAATGCAGCTAAACTCTGCGTGAGCAAATTTCATTTATAATATTACAGAGCCGGTTGTGGCACTTTATTTGCACACATACACACTTACACATACATACATTTTTAGAACTCAAAAGCCAGCTAGTAATTGAGTGCACTAGCAATTCTGACATATTTAAGTGAGAGTGTCCCTTCAAGTGGCTTATGGCGTTGCCATCATGCTGTGTTTTTGTGACGCAAAAATGTCTGCCTCGAGGGCAATCCAAGGAAGACAGCCAGTTGCTGTTGTCTGCACGCACGCAGAATAGCACTCGTTGATGGAAAAGATTATAGAGGTAGGGGGATATTGAAAGATGGCGCAATTAATTAAGTAGTTTTTCCATCCCCCATTTGACGGTAAATATTTGGTATGCATTTCAAACAATTCAAGCAGCTAAAACTACTAATTTAATGCACGCGCTATAAATTAAAATTCAATTTACAAAGGTCTTTCATAATAGAAAAAGTTCAAAATAAAAAAGTTATATGAAATTATTTCGAGAATGCAATAGTCGATTATCTTCAAAATAGGTGAAACACTTTTTAATACACACC